TCTCGTCGTGGAGGCCGTTCGAGTTCTCACTGCTTGTTCCGGTCGCGGGACCTTGATTATTCCTGAATGGCCGTCGGCCTATTTTTGGCCTCTCTTACATGATGGGCCCTCACGGTTTCAGTCATTCGTCAGGGAGGTTTTTGTGCTTCCCGCCATAAAGGATCTTATTTTGGAAGGCCCAGGTCAGAGGCAGATCTATAAGTCTCACCCGTCCGTTTTTCACGGTTGCCCAAAATTCAGAATGTTGGCTTTGCGCGTGGATTTTGGGTGAGTTTTTCGTACTGTCACGGATAGTGTTTTGAGCCTGATTTGGCATATTTTGAGCCTGATTTGGCGTATTTTGAGCCTGAATTGGCATAGTTTGAGCCTGATTTGGCATAGTTTGAGCCTGACTTGGCATAGTTTGAGCCTTATTTGGCGTGCTTTGAGTCAATGTGGTCTCGACACGTGTGTTTTGTGCCTACATCGGTATTTTTTGCTGGAATTGGTCATTAGCGCAGTAATTGTTTGATTTTCACGATATTTTCTTTTCTTTCAGATGTTCTGAGTTCCGGGATTTGGCTTGAAGCAGCCTCATTGTCCGATTCCTCTTTGAGTGACATGGTTCCAGGCCTTATTAATCTGCAATTAGATGCTAAGGCTCCGTCCACGGTGCTGAAGTACAAGTCTGGCTGGTTGAGGTGGCGCGAGTGGGCTCTGTCGAAGATTGGTGTTCCCGTTATTCCAGCAAAACCTTTGCATATCGCATTGTTTATCTCCGAGCTAGCTAAGCGTTCTTCCGAGAATAACATCGGTGTATCTTCTATAGAATCTGCCGTTTATGCTATTAAGTGGGGCCACGCAATGGCCGGTTTTGAGGCTTGTCCTGTTAGCCATCCCTTAGTAAAGTTTGCGTTAGAAGGCGCCAAAAAGAAGGCTTGCCCGACCTGTTCAGCCTAAGGAGCCGCTGTCGGTTAGCACCGTACAGGCGATTGCTACGCATTTTGCCTCAAGCGCTTCACTTTCCGATCTTCGTTTTTTATTTATTCTTTTAGTTGGTTTTGCAGGCTTTTTTCGCATTGACGAGATTAGGAATATAGCACTTCGTGATGTCTCAATACATAGTGATCATATGTCAGTTTATTTACCTCAGCGCAAAAACGATCAGTATAGGGAAGGCCACACTGCTTTTCTCGCTAGAACCGGCAAGGTTATTTTTGTCCTGTAGCCGTGACCGAGCGGTTGATTAAGCTTTTGCCACAGTCTTCCTCTGCGTTGCCTTTAGTTCGCAGAATTGTCAAAGCCAAGTCTAAGGAGTATTTTCATTGTAGTTTGGGTGTTTCTGTTTCCACTTTAAGGGAGGAATTTAAGAAGCATATCAGACCATTTGTTAGTGATATTTCTAAGTACGGCACACATAGTATGAAGTCTGGCGCGGCTTCAAATCCGGCTTGTAGGAAAATAGCTGGCGACTTGTTAGATATTCATGCTGGTTGGAGGTGTGAATCCACTAAGCACAGATATATTAAGCATGATCTTAGCGAGCGTTTAGCCGTATCTAAGGAACTTTCCATTTAGTTGTCTATGATATTCGTATATATATTTTATCTTTATATATTTTTCAGTATTCGTTGGCGATTGTTTAATCGGAATTAGATTTTCGCTTTTGCTGGCTTTGTAATTTTGAGCAATTTATTTAATATATAGAGTCCTGGCGGGGGACGTAAGATGTGCCTGGCCCGTCCCAGATTTCCTGCCCTTTTTTCCCTACGGGGTTTTTTGGGGCAGGTTTTTTCTGGCCACCCTGGTACGCTTACATGTAGCTTTAGTTTAATTACCTTTGCTGTAGCTATGTTCATTTTTTGACTATCATTAAAGTGGGTTATGGCGTTACTCCCAGGCCATATCCAATATTCTCCAGTATTTGTTTGGCTATTTTCGTTTCTTGTTTTTCTATTAACTTCTGGTAAGTGCAGAAGTCTTATTTCATTTACTGATTATTTTTGTCATGCAGTTATTATTCTAAGTTTGCCTGAGCTTGTTGGCTCAATTTGACTTACAAGCGTAATCCTTTAATCAAGAAACCTGAAAATTTCTCGGGGGACTTAAGGGAGAGGGCTGTTGGGGCAGCGGGAGAATGATTTGGAATAGACTGTTCACAGTCCCCTATTTCTTCTTGAGATCGTTTAGATATACCGCGTCTTACCGTCACAGCTATCTGGTTTTTTAAATGTACCGAGGGGGCGGGCGTCCGTAAAGCAGAGCGCTCGATGTAGAAGATCTTACGGAAAAATAGAGGACAGTCTAGATTTGGAAAAATTGTTCGTATCTTTGGAAAAATCCTGACTGCACCCCTTCTGCAACTTCAGCGTCTATATCGTGACTCAGTTTGAAAGAAAGGAAAAATATATGCCAAGCATAAAATTGAACTACGGCATGCATTACACTAAAGTTCTCGCCGCGGTACTTCCTTCTCAAAAGGAGTGTGAGGATGAACACGGTAAAGAAAAAGAACGGTTTCAGCCCATAGTGAAGTAACTTAAAGTAGTAAGGGTGATATTAGCAACTCTTTTATAGAGCTTGTATATGTCTCTGTGAAGATATTTTTGTATTTCTGTAAGTAGGTTAGTCTGCAATATCCAAATTGTGATTACTGGTTGATCCAGCGCCAAATTACTTCTTTTTGACTTGATTATTTTTAAAGGTTTATTTCCTTGACAAAAACAAGGCGACTGGTGAAGAAACACAGAGAAGTTTTAACAATCAACACGGAGAAGGACAAGCTAAGTTTATTTGCTGTGATGTAACATCAAAGGATCAACTAGAAGGTTATTGTTACACATATATTTGGGTTGTGAATGATGAGAGCTTTGTTGAGTACACTGATTAAGTTTCATAACGAGGATCTACTGAATAATTATGACTAAATGGCCGAAACCTCTTTAATACGGACACCAAAGGGACAGAACCAAGTGTCTGCTTTACAGAGGTGTCCGTATATAGAGGTAGGGAATGTATGATTTTTGGCATTTCTGGGACCAAACAAACTGTCGGTAATAGAGAGGTGTCTGTATTATACAGGTGTCCGTAAGGAGAGGTTAGACGCGCGAGTAACTGACTTACTGACTTAATAACTAACTGACTGATTCATTGTCTTGCGTACTAGTTTGATAGTTAGTTTGCACTGAACTGATTGGCTGAATAACAAAATGAGTCGCTGTCAGGCTAGCTAGCTGAGGGAGCCAGACTAACTGAATGGCTTGCTAGCTGGCTAACTAGTTAACAGGGGGAATCCATGGCTGACTATTGACTGATTGAACAGTTGATTGGCTGTTAAGAATAGGCTAAGAATTTTCTAAAGTGAGTTAATGTGACCGTTGATAATGACACAACCTTTCACCGTTTTTAGTTGCGTTTAAAGCCACGGTCAACGAATGTGGGCGACTAGACATTGTAGTAAACAATGCAGCGATAATGGACGAGAAAGACTGGGAGAAGACTCTAAACGTTAACCTGGTAAGTTAACCAATATGCGGCCTATTTCTCGAAAGGCCCGGTAACTTTTCGGGTCCGAACGCAAATTTTGAAATCAAAACCAGTCGCATAGTAGGACATTTCCTAGCTCACGAACCGGTCATTCTTACTTCGTGAACTTTTGAATTCCATTGTATCATTTTCAAATTATTGAATCTTTGTTCAAACACGCAAACATAAAGCAGCTTTTCGGGCCCGAAAAGTTATCGGGACCTTCGAGAAACGGGCCCCAGAACTCGAAATAAATACTTAGTGGAACGAGCTATTAACAGGCCATTTGCACGATGACGTCAAATTGCTAACTCGGATTGCTACTCGATTGGGGATCTGTCAGGGCAGGTGTGCCGCAGGGGACCAAATTGGGGCCCTGGCTCTTCCTGGTAATGATAAATGACATCAATGTCAATGGCGTCAACCTTTGGAAGTACGTCGATGACACATCGATGGCCGAGACAGTCCACGAGGGCCAACCAAGTGGAATCCAATTTGCTGTAAACGACCTAGTTAGGCAAGCCGAAATAGATAAGTTCCAGTTGAATGAGACCAAGTGTAAAGAGTTGCAGATAAGTTTCTCAAGGTCTGTAGATCCTTTCGAAGCAGTTACTATTAACAACAAACCAATTGAGGTTGTAACTAGCGCAAAACTTCTTGGCCTCACAATTTCAAACAATTTAAAGTGGAACGCTCACATAGAGAATGTTATCAAAAAAGGAGCCTCTAGGCTATATCTATTAAGGCAGCTTAAGCGTGCAAAAGGAGATCCTGCGCAGCTACTTTGTTTCTATACTACGTGTATCCGGCCCATGTCTGAATATGCCTGCCAAGTTTTCCACAATGGTCTGCCTGAGTATCTCTCTGAAGAGCTAGAGAAAATTTAGCGCCGTGCACTTAGAATTATTTTCCCAGATTTAGGCTATCAAGAGGCTCTCAAAGAGTGCAATATTGCCACCCACCATCAACGGCGCCAATGGCTGACAGAGCGCCTATTCAATGAGATTAAGGACAACAGCCTCCACAAAGTACATGGCCTTTTGCCGCCACGTAATCTTAGTACTTTAGCCTTAAGGAGAAAGCGCGCTTTTAACGTGCCTCTTTGTAGAACAAATAGACTACTGAATAGTTTTATCTTGCATAACGCGGCTATTTTCTAATGGTTTTATTGTAAATTTGCGGCTATTTTCTTAAATTTCATGACGTAGTATCTTTGTTCTTTTGTTTTACTTATTTACTGTTATTTATTTATAATAGTTAGTCTTAGTATTCAACGTATTGTACAGTCCGTAATCCAGCCCTTGGGCTGCAATGGATTTTTAATAAAGCTATCTATCTATCTATCTATCTATCTATCTATCTATCTATCTATCTATCTATCTATCTATCTATCTATCTATCTATCTATCTATCTATCTATCTATCTACTAAGACCACAATCCTTCAGGTTTTTGTTTCCTTGTGCAAATTAAGTCTTTTGTTAATATTTAATCCTCTCTGGAACTAACAAATTGAAATATGAAAGTAATGCTGACGAAAAGGATTCTGGTCGTAGTAGTAAAATGACTCTATCTTGCAATTGGTCCATTGAGCAAGTTACCATATGTTTTAAATGAGGGTAATTATTACATATTATTTTTTCCTTAGAATGCGGTGATACGAGGTACATTTCTTGGTATAGAGCTCATGAAGAATGGGGTAATCATTAACCTTTCTTCTACAGGAGGTAAGCTTATGAAATAAATAAAAATAGATGAAATTAATTATAAAAGAGAGATAAATAAATAAAAGACATACGGTAGAGGAATAAGTAAAACAGGGAGTTCAGTGAGCATAATAATAATAATAATAATAAAAATAAGAAGAAGAAGAAGAAAAAGAAGAAATATTATAATAAGGGAATTTGAAAGTGTTGGGTTTTGAGAGGGGATGCAAAGTGCCTATGTCCGCAAGCAAAGGGCGAGAACCAAGGGTTTAAACAAAAGGATTATAACCAGCTTAACAATCGTTTACGTCCTCTAATTCTCTCCCTTACTTTCTCCCCATTATTTGTCTCTCAATCCAGAGTTCTAGTCCGCGATCAGGTTCTTTTATTTATTCTTTTGATTTATAGAGCTTTTAGGAAGGCATGATCACAGGCTACGGACTCTTGCGGTTATCCTCACTAAAGAACTGCTTAACGCAAAGAATTTCTGTCTGAAATGTAGTCATAAATAAAAATGCGACATCACAAATCGCGACGATAGCGCTTCTCTCTATGGTACCACACATACTGATGATTTTTTCTTGTTGTCGTTTTACAGGGATTCACCCGGTCTCTTTTTGCCCAGTTTATTGTGCTTCAAAGTTTGGTGTGATAGGTTTTACAAGGAGTATTGCTCCAGTACGTATACTCTTCTTCCAGAGCAGCAATTGTTTTCACGAATACAGTGATTGTGTGAGCTCGTTCGAGTTAGATAATTAAAGATGCAATTTTTGGTTGCCTTATCGGAGGGTCTCAATGGTTAACAAACGGCCTATAATCAGACCAGAACGCCCTTTTTGTGCCTGTAAGAGAGTGTTCAGTGATAAATTTTCTCCCGAACGAGGCTAAATATTGATTATCAAGGGGGGGAAACTTTACTTGAACTTGATAACTCACTACGTTCGGTTAATTCGTCTCATGAAACGTTCGATGTTTGGCCTAGGCATAACTTAAACAAGGGAATATTTATAAGGATAAGCATTAAGCTGGTGACTGATCTATGAAAACAGACCGCATTTGTTCAATGAACAAGATGGTCCTGGCCTCGAGGTTCTGCACGTCTCATAGTTTGGATATACATTAAGTTCTTTGTTTCGTCCATTTTCCTAAGTTCTTAAGCTTGTTCTGGCATTCGGTATGTTCCTGGAGTTCATGATCGTCCGGGTGAGCGTAGTCACGGTCCTGAATACGACTGTGGTTGACAGTGACTGACATTTCGACAACCCGTGCGGTAGTAGAATTTTCGGTTGTCCACTCCTTCAGGACTACGCTCGAACGATCACGCGGCTCCACCTAGTTACGAAACGACTCCTGAGTTCAAACTTTTCCCAATCATAACTTTTCTGCCTACAGTCAGCGTTCAAGAAAAAAGGCATTAGAGTAAACTGTGTGTGTCCAGGAAGTACGGACACTGATATCTACAAGGCCATGGAGAAATTGGAGCTGACAAAGGAACAACAAGAACTCGCAACCAACACGCCTAAACAAAGGTTAGGCGGCTTCTGCACTGGCCATTTTTCATTTATTTAGTACGCTCAGGCTACTAACACAAATAATATGACTGTGATGATCAACGCAGGGTTCTGTGGAGGGTAAAAACCAAAACCCAAACTAACCTTTTTTTATATAGAGTATCACATAACAGATTCAAGAGAATGCGAAATGCACCCATACCACAGGTGCTGTCTAAAGAGCGACTTCACATGCATGTGATGCTTACTGAGTCAGTTAGATGCGATTAATATATAGATTTAGCCACAGCTAAAAGCGAAGCTCCCATTGATAAATTTATAACTTAAATCAAACAACAATTTTGTATTCCACAAATCAGTTAACTTAAGGGCACATTCATGTGACTTTTGAGGGAAAAGCTAAGTGATTTTGGAGTGAAACAAATCTTGTATCGAGTTGATATAGCCTTATATGTACACCCAAAAAATAGTCTTCGGTCACATTTAAGAGCAATAATGGCTCTTGATCACAGTAGATAAGGCGTGGAAAACAAATTCTTGGAAAACAAATCAGGTCGAATTTTTTGCGTTCGACAAGTTTACAAATTCTTGCCAATAAATCTGGGTGCGTGCAAACCAATCTTTTATTTATTTATTTTTTTTATACACCACATCTGAGGAGAAAGAGTATTTCACAATTTTTCAAGACAAATTGAATTCATTCAATATTCAGGACCATCGAAGCAAGCGTGGACTTTTAATTAGCGAAACCGTTCAAAAAATTTCCAAAATCATCTATACGGCCAGTCGGTTCTAACTTTTGACAAGCGCCAAATTTGCGAAGAAATTTTAAAAGAGTTACGCTTCAACGTGATAAAGAATTTATTGAGTCTATTTTTTATTAATGGTTTTATAACGATGTGTAATCTTAAAAAGCGTTTGATACGCTCGGCATTTTGAGTACTCCTGCAAGCGATGTTTTTGAACGGCTGAAAACAAACGGAAAAGCGATGAAAATTACACTTTTGAGACTACCAACAATCAATAAAGAAATACAATTCGGTAGAACATTTACAGAGACAACAATTTTCATTCATGAAAACAAATGAGTATTTAAGTGTCTCTAAGAATCCTCAGGTCTTTACTAAGATTAAAGATGAAGTTTATGTTTTAAGCCGCCGGTTTCCCGGTGTTTGCTGTTTTCAAAGATGAACTCATGACAAGAAAGTCGCTCCAAGCTTTCTTTCTACAGCCAAAATTATAACTAAGTATTCTTCGGAAAGTCTTTTCTTTCTATTTACGGTGAATCAATATCGACTAAAGGCTTTTTAAAGTTCTGTAAGCTTAAGCTTATATCAAACCTCATACTAGGTCAGATCAGTGTCTCAGTCAAATCTTAATACAAACGAGCATAAACTAGCTTCATAAACTGCGCCGCTGGACTTCATGAAATTATATTTAAATACAATAATTACTCAGGCTTACCATAATTCGAGATGCAGCTCCTGAAAGCTATCAAGTAAGTCAAGGATCGCTTGTGCCTTTATAATTCTCGTACGCATCCAGCAAGGTGAAAAACAAAAACGATGCCATTCGAAATCGGATTAGCGGCTTTGACAAGCGACGCATTTCTCGACCAAAAACCCAACAAACAAACCAGCCATGAATAAGAGAACACTCTTGATAGCAGCTGTATTTCATTTTGTACATCCAGTGGAAAAAGACAGTTAAAAACATCACAAGTTGACTCAAACTCTGTCAGCTTCAGCTGTCAAAGTAAACAACTTTCAAGATGCTGCATAAATTTTATGCATGAACTCAAATTTCAAATTTTAACCAATCAGAGCATAAAAATTGGACGTGGAGCGTGATCAACACGTGACCATGGTAAGAAAAGGTCTTCCCCGCCTGTATTTTAAAAAAACTGGCTGAATTTTTGCGTCTGAGGTCAGTTTGAAATCAAAATCTTAATAGTGCGGGACGATACTGACATAAACACAACATATTTGATGTGAATTTTAAAAAAAGTAAACGTGAGCCTCCGATCATTTGAAAACGAGTAAATTGTCAGCGGATAACTTCAAAAAAACACTCCACCTTGATGGGTCGACACCTGAGCCCGCGATACGGTCAGGTGATACTGGTCAGCGGATACCCTGTTTTGACAGCTGTCAATTGATGACAACATTGATGTGCAGTCAGCTTTCTCCTGGGCTCCCAACCTAGCTAGAAAGTGTGAGAGTAAACATTGGTATGCCTGTGGTGCGGACGGACGGTCGGTCGGTCGCTCGGTCGGTCGGTCGGTCACGTGATTACCAAATTTTCTGGGATGGGTAGATTTATTTACCCATGGTGCTCCGCAGGCGCGCTTCGCGCGCGGAGCTCCGCTATAAGCATGGTACTGAGAAAAATTCTCGCTATCACGCCAAAGCCGAATTGAATACATTCGTGATCAAATCCTGTTAAAAAGGACACTGAGGGGGCCGTAGAAAGCGTCCGTATTAGGCGGGTTGAATTAAGCGAAAATGTAGGGGCTTTTTTCCCCAGGGACAAATAACTGAACTGTCCGTATTAAGCGGGGTTTGACTGTAATTGTTTTATTGTGCATGCATGACACACGGGACCTTACGTTAACCACGAAGCAAACAGGAAACTAACACTTATATTGGGACATCAAATTGCTCACGGTATTTTAAAACATTCAAGCTTCCGATAACTTTTCGCCGCGCACTCTTGAAGAGTTTCTAAACCAACACTATTGCAGTCATTTGCTTTCAGAAACCTAGACGTGAAAGCACTATGCGTCAAGTACGTCTTGAGAGGTGTTTTAAATGGCGATGTTTTTCTTCGCCTGTTGGCAACTTGATCATGATCAGTGGCATCATACATGTATAAAAACTGTTATCAGTAAAATGACGTCACTTTCAATGTAGAAAACTATCGTTCATAACAATGAGGTCACTTCTACATTTATCAGAGCTATGCCTGTAGACTTGACGTAACTACGTGCCATTGAGAATTAGTAGTGCTTCTGTAACCAATCACAACTGCGATAGCGACAGATTTGTATAATAATATTTTTTGAACTATATATGTCGGTCTAGAAAGACGTCATACATATTAAAGGTTTTGTTACCCGTTCTGAGCCCACTTGCTTGTTTGCTTTAGACCGGAAGCCGTTGCTCAGTGCATCGTGGATTTAATCAAAGACGAAACAGACGTGGGACAGGTGGTAAGAGTGACGCATGACGAAGGTGTTGAATTCCTCAACTACAATGACGTGAGTGTTAACTTTATTCTTAGAACTCCATTTCTTAATTCTTTGAAGAGAAAAATATGTTTGGACACGTTAGAAGACAGCGGCTATGACGAACTTAGATGTTTTTCGATGAAACTTGTGTACGCCTTAAAAAGAACCTTTTTTTTCAATCCCTTGAAAATAGTTTTGAACTCTGTTTTAATTTCAAAGCTTTTATTAACCAAATTTCCCTGAAAGTAGACAAAAAGCGAAAAATGCTTAAATAGTAAGGTACGTAAATGATCTTTAACAATAGCAGTGATGTCATGATGACCTCATTTATTTACTGGAGAAGACTGACTGGAAGCATCCACCATCTTGGATCCGCTTGTTTTAGAATTATTTAAATCTATTCCATTTTCCTTAAAACTGGTATAAATCGAGGTATTTTGGACAGAAAGCTTAATCTGAGTATAATAGGATGCTTAGGAAGCAAAAAAATCATCAAAATATGAACACTGTTGAAATTGAACTCAGCATCTGCCGTTTGGTGATATTGAAGTCATGTTGTTTCTCAAACTAGTCACTTAAAAGCCTGGATTTCATTAACAGTCACAATAACTGTGATAAAGTGACGCTAAATTAAGTGTAATATGATACTTCAATCAGTAAAAACGAATAGAAATTAAACCTATCTTTATTTAGAGAAAATGCAAATTTTGAAATGGTAACATCAATGTTGTCGTCACGGCAACTTTTAAAGTGTTCTCAGATAAATTTTAAAGTTTTAATTTTAAATTTTTCCGGGATATCACAAAACCACTTGTAATATTTGTTTATTAAACACTGATTTAAAGAAAATGATGACAAACACACCTTCGCACGGAACACAGTTTAACGTTGTTCTTCGACATCATGCATTACGCGCGCAACCTGCAGATTAGTCGCTTGTCAGGTAGCAGATAACTAACTAATCTCTAGGCTGCACGGATTTCCAAAATTAACCGTAAACTCTTAATATACAATAATTCGCTTTATTTGTTTCTTTTAGATTGTTATATGATGGTTGGGACTCATTCTCATGTTATCGACTCCGGAACTAACCAGATCATTTTTATAGGAGGAATCCCAGGAGAAGATTGTCAACGTAAACGATTTACTGAAACCAAATGAATTGAGAACTCGTATATGATATATAATTTCGACCTTAAAAGCTGATGGATAATACTTCCTTGACATTGATGGCAAGCTCCCAGAGTTGTATTTAACGTTAGACTTTTTCGTATCTAAGTGAACGAAGAATTTGTCAAAAAAAAAAAATCAAACCCCTAGTGAGACGTGTACGTTGGGCAGCGTTCAGCTGTAAAAATATACCATTAGTTGTAAGAGTAGTTAACCAAACATTTTTATGGCCACAGTTTATTCTTTAGAGCTGGGGCGGATTCAGGATTTTTATCAGGGGGAAGTGCATTACTAAGGAAGGGCGTAACTGACTGGTGACGCAAACGAATTTTAAAAGCGAATACAAAGAAGAAAGCTTTTGTCTAGGCAATAACATAATGTGAAGTGCTGAGAATACATATCATACACATCTCCATATTTTGCAGAACACTAGTTGTATTAGAAAGCCGCCGGTCATCTCAGGGGGGTTGTACTACCTGCACCCTCCCCTATAGAGAGTGTCTAGATCGCTTGTAAGGTCTTTGTACGTGTTTTGGATCAATAAAGGTTTCTGGGTAACTGACCACCTACCCCTCGCCTAAAGTCACCACGTCTTGTTTCGTGGATGGCGGTGATGGACCCACGGTGTTTCAGCCTTAGTTTCTAATCTTTTCATCCCAGACTGGTCTTTTACGGGCTTACATACCGACGAAAAATATCAACACAAAGTTAAGCCTTCTAATAAAGCATAGAGGCCTCTGGGGAAGACAACTTTTGATTCAGTATAATAGCACTGGTGACAGGTGCAAGGCACAAGCTGAAAAAATAAGAAAATCATAAAATGCTTAATTAATTAAGGAGGCATTCCATCTTGTGGTGGCGGACTATCTGGAATTATTCAACGCTTCACATTTTGAGTTTTAATGACTCCCAAATCAAATGTTTTTCAATTTTCCAGAATTTTAAACACCCTCCCCTCCTCCCACCCCCGCTGGGGGCGTCACACAATAGTCAATACTTTGTGTCCCACAAAGATAAGGGAATAGATAGGTTGTGGTTCAATAATGTACCCTTGGTTTAAATTTTATTTCCCTTTGTTTTTGGGTATGGTTATGTATGATAGACATGATAATGAGTTTAAAACAAAGGGAACATATACACTATTGGCTCTTTTGGTCAAGCTACAATCATTGACAAAAGTAGTTGGGACGGTTGAACAACTTAACAGCATTATTGATCCATTTCATGGGCCTTATATCTAAGTTCAAAAATGATTATTTGTCCTTTTCCTGAAGACGCCCTCCCCTATTCAATGTTGGGACATGTAAGAACAATTACGCACACAAACAATTTAGTTTGGTCCAACACTGATCCAAGGGGCGGAGGGGGAAACAAGTAGAAGGAAGGTGAAAAGAGATTACTTTCCCAACATTTTTGACGATGATTGTAGTTTTACCTACCACCGAAAATGTTTTCTTTGTTTGTTCTGTTCAATATTCCATCCGAAAGTGGCTTATCTGGAGCCTCCGGCAGTTTTGAGTTGTATCGAGCCGTTGCTACGGTAACAGTATTAAAATTAAGAGGCCAATTACAACAAAGTTTACCTCTATGTACTTATAACGTAGTTCAGAACATTTTAACATTGGAGAAAGACAGTGGAAATAACTATAACTTTGATATAAAAAGGTCCAAGGGACTGGCAAGAAATGTTTGCTGTGAGGTCCTTTAATGAGGGTCCGTTTCATCGAGGTCCTTTTCCTCATATTTTATTATTAATGGAGCAAAAATTATATTCGTTACCAAGGATATACCAAGGATGTTGCAAAAACGTAGAATGGGGAGCGCGCAACAAGCACAGGGAACGGGGAAACAATGGGAAAATGAAAAATGAGAAGAAAACAGAGAATTGGAAATGAAGTTACTGATAGGATCTGAGTTCCAGTTAGATTTTCTTCCCATTTAGATCCACATAGATCGACATCACGACACACTTCTTACCTGACGTACGAAGTCGAATGGTTCATTGCCTGGTAACTTGGGTCCAAGAGTTCTTATCTCTTTATCAGCTTACGAAAACCATGAAAACAACGGCACATTACAAAGGCTTTCATTTCAAAGTGAAATCAAAATGCAAATGCACCACGTTGACAAAGTTAACCCTCGGACGTACGGGGGGGGGGGGGGTTGGATGCCATTCCCTCAAAGGTTTTTCTGAGTTTTTTTCCTAGAGGATAAAAGATCAGCACCTGACGTTCTCAGTAGCTGTTCGTTCATCTGTCGCGCACATTTTGAGGGAAGTTCAGTGATAGTCAGTTGCTATGGTTACGAGATATGACGTCATAAGTAGCAGGTGGCCAAACCATTTGTTGATAAAAACACATGTTTTTTCAATTTCATTCAACAAAAAAAGTAAATCTTGCGGCTAAAACCATGCAAAGTGTTTATTTATGTTTTATTTTTCATGTAAAGCCCAAAAAGGTACCATTTCTCGCTCTTTTAACCTGATTTATTATTCTCGGTAAAATCTAAGATGGCGGCCAAGATGGCGACCATTGTTGGTGACGACACAAGCCTCCAGCAGCGTCACCACCCATAAAATATACTTCATCTTGTTAAGAAGATCAAAGGCTTTTCACTAAAGGTAAAATCGTTTCGAAATACTGCAACATATCAAAAACTCCGGGTAGGGTTTCCATCCACTTCCCCCCCCCCCCCGCCCCCCTTGTACCAAGGTGAGGGTATGAATTAGCCTGAGTATCAGGCCTTCCTAGGGGGATAGGGGAGAGGAGATTTTTCTCTCCCTTTTTCGCTTCCATCTTTCCCCTTTTCCCCCAGAAACGCCTGATACTCAGGCTAGGTATGAATTTGCGTGTACGTCCGAGGGTTAATTCGGTTACAACTCAGCAACTGAGACTGAGCACTGCAAGCCAATATAACGTAAATGTAAAAACTAGACGTATCGGACAAGGGGTCGCTTCCATCTTTTTTCGGTTGGTCTTTGAAAAATAGTGGAAATGGCAAAGAAGCTTCTCATCATCAGTTTGTGACCTGCAATAAAATTTTCAAATTTTTTAGGATTTTCTTCCTCTGAGTAAGATTATGATTCAGTTTCTTCATCAGCTTTCGCTGGGTGCCAGAGGTTTTTTTCTCGCGTGCGACAAGGAGCTTCGTCGGCCTTCGGACGCAGACACGAGCAGACACTTTTTAACTTTGACCGAATCCGGAAACGGCGCTTGAAAAGCCTGTGGCACCCAGGGTATCATCAGCTTTGTTTGAAATAAAAATAAGTTAAAATTTCAAACGAAGTAGTCAATTTCCAAGTCCCTAGGGTTCACATCTATTTTTTTTTCCTTTTTTTATATTTGACTAGAAAGATTTAGAGTTGCAAGTTGAATGCGCGTTTTATTTCGAAAGTTTGGTCACACCGTAAGTTGTATGGACCACAAATTCAGCGCGAAAACAGAATTAGCCAACAAAAATAAAACACAAACAGCGGTGATAAACATTGTGAGCTTTCGCATTTTTATAAACTTGACGTTTCGTGTGCAGTATTCAACATGTATACAAAAATTTACAAGGGGTGTGGAAATGAGATTAAGGGCCTGTTTACATGGAGGTGGGGGACCCCGGGTAGGCGAAGTAACCCGCTAAGGTGGGGTAACCCGCCCGTCCATATAATCTCCCATTTTAATTTGATCATGTTTACATGATAGGTGGGGTAACCCGCCACATGTTACCTCACTTGCCTGGGGTCCCCCACCTCCATGAAAACGGGCCCTAAGAATTCACAATGAATACAAAAGTCAACAGGTACCAATAAAGCATCAGCTTTTCACTGCTGATGTTGGTATTATCACTGCTGTTTGCAACTGTGTCTTGTTTTTTATCAAACTACGATGGCC